GGTGACATTGAAAATGTTAAATTGAGTTGAACCAGTCACAATTGACATTATGCATCAAATGGTTTCATTTTATGAAAATCCAATAATAGCTGACTCTTTTACAGGCACAATAGCGTAAAGAGTGACTTATGCAAAATTGACCATTTCTCGGCAACTGCGCATATTACAAATTAATTTTCACATACATTCTCTCCGTATAGATTATTGCTACGAGTTTATGAAAGTTACGAAGTAATATTTTAAAATATGAAAACGCTGGATGGGTTGTAAATAGCTTAATTTTACACCTTTTTTCACCTTTTAATCGAAATAGCCCGAAAACGGAATCGAAATTAAAAAAACTGGGCCCAACATTTTGTGCGCCTTTAAAGGGCGCACCCTTTCAGTTATACCAGATTTGAAAAAAATAATATTTGCTTTCGAAAAGTGGTACCTAACTGTAAAAATTGTAGTTTTTGGTAAAATTACGCCACTTCCGGTGCCGACAGATAACTCTATCGGTAACAAAAAAATGGCAATTGAGACAACGGAGCATATGAACTTTGTTTTATACAAATCGAACAATAAATAATTAATCTAGGACTGAAAAACTGAATTAGTCAATGGCGGCCAAGGAAAATTACTGAGACAAAAAAAATTCAGATTTTTGCTCAAGTCAGATGACTCGTTAGTTTTGTGTAAAACACGACTAAAAAATATTCATAAATAAAAAAAGTTTTTGTAAAAATTGAAATTTTCGAAATTTGGCGCCTAATATCTGCGATGATTTGCCGAAAATCAAAAATCAAAAGTAGCGTAGCTATGTGCCCTGTCTCCGGCTATGCCAAAATGTATCGAAAGTTAAAATCCAATGATTATTGTTAAAATTAATGCAATATTTCTAAAAACGATACCTTCGGTGTTTTCGGACATTTCGCATTGTCGCAGAACGTTCAAAATAGTTTTATCCTCTAAGTCACACCCACTTTTCCAGTAAAATCGAAGAAATCATAACGATTCGACAAGCAGTTGCTGAGATCTACTCAAAACAAAAGAAGAATAATAATAATAAGAACTAGACCTGCAAACAGCACTGAACCGGCTTTCAGGAATCAGACAGGAAGTGTGTCATACAATAGCCCATTTATCTAGCTACCAAACGATACTTTAGATGTTTTGATCCGGTCACACCCGACGATGAAATCCCAATTGTTGCAAGAGCACCGATATTTTTACTGTCTTTTTTTTTGTTGAATTATCGAATATTTTTTGACTACTTCCTGTTTACGGATCATTATCGGGATAGATTTAATAAGTGGTAGGGGAACTTAACTTCATGTAGCAGAAGTTTCAGAAAGATCCATTGGACAGTTTTACCTCCCTTATACCGTTAGACGCAGATTTACAGATATAACGATTTTTTTCAAAGATTGTGGCCCTTTTGGACCATTTATACTATATTGAAGCTTTTAAATTTGGATTCACACCCTAGACCACCGTAAGGACTCTAAGTAACATCAGTTTAAGAAAGGAAATAAGAGAAGTTTTCGAAATAAAAGCGTCTGAATAGCCCCCAAAAATGAAAATACTAGATTTTCAGCGTCCCATTATATATTGCCTAACCAGCGAATTTTTACCATTTAGATGTCATACGATCGTCCATTGTTCGGGCTATCCAATGACACTTAAGTTGGTTCGAAATCTTACGTAGTAATCACTTTTTTCGCAAGATCACCATTTTTTTACTTTTTATGTTTTTTTCTCTCAAAATATCAGATATTTTCTCGACTACTTCCGGTTTTTGGATCATCGTCGGGGTAATTTTAACAAGTTGTTTGGTTACCTAACCTTCTGTACAAGAAGTTTCAGTAAAATCCATTCAGCTGTTTTCCATAGAAAGAAAAATAGAAGAGCATTTTCAGTAATTTAAGGATTTTTCAACTTTTTTCCAAGATTGAGGCTCTTTTTCGACCACTTATATTATTTCAATGCTTTTATTTTTGGACTCATGCTATAGTCCACCGATAGGACTCTGAGTAAAAAAAGGTTTAATAAAAATCGTAGTTTTCGTTTTCGAGAAAAAGGCGTCTCAAAGTGCTCCAAAACGGAAAATACTAGATTTTCGACGTACCATAATTTATTTTCTAGCCATCTAAATCGTATCATTCAGATGTCATATGATAGTCCATTAATGGGGCTACCCTGCGATACTTTAGTTTTTTTGGTCCGCTAATATCTGATGGAGAAATCAAGATTTTCGCAAGAGTGCTATTTTCTTAAACCTTTTTTCTTCATTTTTTGAATACGTCCGGTATGAAAATTGTTGTCGGGATAGTTTTAATAACTGGATTGGCTTATCAAATTGCCACAGGGCTATGTAATGAAATATTACATTGTCTGATCAGATAAAATGCCCCTGGGAAATCCTATGTTCAAAAGTGTCAAAAATATCAAAATGTCAAAATATCGTAATTACGTCAGCTATCTGAATATGTAACTTTTTTGTAAAAAATTTTTTAATTAATAAAGTAATAGAGCATTTTCCAAAATTTCACGATTTTTCAACTTTTTTCGATTTTCAGTACGTTATGTTACCTATTCCAGAAATTTTAATGTCTAATTGGTAGGATTCATGCACAAGACTACCAGAGGGACTCTCGATAGGGAAAGTTTAAAAAAAAATCCTTGGAGCAGTTTTCGAGATACAGGCGTCCAAAAACGCTCCAAATCAGAAAATACCTGATTTTCAGAATGTCATATTTTGCTGCCCTCTTATAGGATTCGCGTGAAATGGGTATCATATGACAGTCGAATCCCCGGGCCACCCAACGATACCTTAATTTCTTTAATCCGTTGATATCGGGTGAAGAAATCATGTTTTTCCCAAAAGCACCCATTTTTTGCGTTTTCTTCGAAATATCGGACATTTTTTCGACCACTTCCGGTTTAAGGATTCTTGTCGAAATAGTTTTATCAGTTGGTTTTGGACTATAACTTCATGTTCCATAAGTTTCAGAAACGTCAATTCGGCCGTAAAACGAAACTCGGGCACACAAAATGGGCAGAAAATTCGAAAAAAATCGAAAAATAAAGGGTGATAACTCTGAATGAAAGTTATATTCCTGGAATCGGATTGCCTTCAGGTATCCAAAAATGTAGGTCAAATTTGAAAATTTTGAAAAATTACAAAAATTGTCTCCTAAACAACGTATTTTCAAATTTCGAACGACAAAAGCCATAGATGAATGTTCGCAATTGAAAAATGTGAGATAGCCATTGTCTCGGAAAAGATTCATGGTTTCCAAAAATGTGAATAGTTTTAAAATAGGTAAAGAATTGGCGAAATCACCGCCGATTTTTGATTTATTGCTACCGTTCAAAATTCGGCCACTTCCGGTCTGCGCAGAAGTTCCAAAAATACTTTTTCAAATAACCACCACATGGTTTCCAGAGAGAAAATTTAACCCCAGGTCGATATCTGTTTTCGATCATGGAGAAAAAGGCTCCCGCGGTAAATAATAATAATAATAACTAGACCTGCAAGCAGCACTGAACCGGCTTTCAGAAATCAGACAGGAAGTGTGTCATACAATAGCCCATTCATCGAGCTACTAAACGATACTTTAGGTGTTTTAATCCGGTCACACCCGACCGTGAAATCACGATTTTTGCAAGAGCACCGATTTTAACTGGTTTTTTTTAAATATCAAATATATTTATATGACTACGGTTTCACCGGTGCCACGTTACCCTAAACATATGTCACTTCCGGTACCAATGAAACCATTAAACAGGTTTCCACATAAGCATTGCACACATCAACTAAAATTGACGCTGAATCAACCAATTCCAGCAATATCAATTCATTTTATACATTTGTTACATGTAAGTGTACAGTATTTCCGGTGATAATGAAAATGTCCAATTAGTTTTATGAAATCAGAAATGGCATAAGGCATCACATGGTGAAAATTTTATGTAAATCGAATAATAATTGCCACTTTTATAGACCAAAAACCTTGAAAAGTGACTTGTATAAAACCGTCTATTTCTCTGCAACCGTACAAGTTAGAAACCATTTTCTGGTATCTGTATGATCGTATGGGTTTAATCTATTTGTTGATTGGAATCAAATATCATAATTTTAAAAACATTACAAATTAGACTCATTTGAATAAAATATCTGTTTTGAAGGCTAAAAATACAGTTTTTGCCAAAATGACGTTACTTCCGGTGATAATGAAAATCTTAAATTACTTGTATGACATTGTAAATGGCATTAGGTATCACACAGTGAAAATTTTATGAAAATCGAATAATAATTGACACTTTTATGGACCAAAAACCTTGAAAAGTGACCTGTTGAAAATCGCCTATTTCTCCGCAACTGAACAAGTTAGAAACAATTTTGTGAAATCTATATGACCTTATGGATTATATTAATATGTGAATGTAAACAAAAAATTAAAATTATTAATACATATTAAATAATTCTTGTTTGAAAAAAATATTGATTTTAAAAGTTAAAAATGCACTTTTTGACAAAATGTCGTCACTGCCGGGATCTTTTGGAGGTAAACCTATATTTCAAGTTTCGTCAAAATCGGATAAGAATTGTGACCTGTAGAGTGTCCACAAACAAATTGTGGACGGACGGATATCCGGACGGACAGGGGCGACGGCATAATACGTCCACATGTAAATGTGGGCGTATAAAAATTGTGACCTCTATAGGGTCCACAAGCTAAAAACGTGATTTTTCGTACAATCAGGGGCCATAATCCATGAATTTTCGATCCGATACATGCCAATATCGAAAGCAGCCGAGCTTTTTTGGGGATAAACCTATATTTCAAGTTTCGTCAAAATCGGATAAGAATTGTGACCTGTAGTGAGTCCACAAACAATTGTGGACGGACAGACAGACAGACGGATTAATGGATGGACGTCCGAACGGTCAGGGGCGACGGCATAATACGTCCACATGAAAATGTGGGCGTATAAAAATTACCCATACTTACATCATGAGCCCCTGCAGGTTTCTTCTTTCTTTCAGACATGAATTTTTTATGTTCCACATCACCTAAAGCTTGTCTCACTTCTTCACTTTGTCTGAAAATATTGTTGTAAGTACAGGACTTGCAGAAAGAGGGGGAGAGAGAGATCTTTGGGATATAAACCTATACATTAAGTTTGGTCAAAATCAGATAGGCAACGAAATATACGCCCACAGTAGCTAAATCGTCCAAGCGGTCGTCAAGGTTTGTCGCAAAATTATTCTTTTGTAGGTAATGGGGACATATAGAAAGATAGGTTGCCAGGCAATGAAACATATGCCCACCAGCAGCTAAATCGTCCAAGCAGTCGACAAGGATTGTGACATATTTATTCTTTTATAGGTAATTGGGGGCATTTACAGGACAATTTCATACAGATCAGATCATAATTTTCTACAAACTGAAACAAGGGCCTTAACTCTGGAAATAGTAAACTGAAATTGTTGAAATTCGACAGATATTTTCATTTTACTAATTTAAATAATGCAAATAAATTTCATACAGATTAATTGGTATATTTTGTTGTTCGAGCGTTCACAAGGTTCAACAAAGTGAAACAAGGGCCATAACTCTAGAAGACATTAACAGAAATTGTTCAAATTCAATATTGGCTTCTTTGTTTCACTAATCTAAATGATGCATATAAATTTCATACAGATCGGGTGATAACTTTTGTTGTTCGAGCGTACAAGATTCAATAAAGTGAAACAAGGACTATAACTCTAGTAGAAGTAATTAACGGAAATTGCTGAAATACAATAGGCTTCTTTGTTTCACTAATTTAAAAAGATGCATATCAATTTCATACAGAACAGAGCGTTCACAAGCTTCAACAAAGAGAAACAAATCTAAAAGTATTTAACGGAAATTGCTGAAATTCAATAGGATTCTTCATTTCACTAATTTAAATTACGTATATCAATTTCATACAGATCGGATGATAACATTTGTCGTTCGAAATGAAATGAAATGGGGACTAAAGTCCTACTCCGACTGGGCTTATAAAGACGGGCATAAGCCATACAGTGTGCTATGAGTGAAATTTTGCACGGACAGCAGTACTGTGGCCTACTCTTATATCAAATTCCAACTGTCAAGGGATCTTTTACATGCACACAAATGTCTACACGAGACCTCTGTTTTCCGTCCCATCTGAATGACTAGACAGCTGTGCTCGTCAGACCCTTCGTCCTGCACCACGGACACGAGGAAACCACGCCGGAAAATCCTAATAAACTTTCACAGTAAACCCCGGGAGAGAAAATGCAAGCTCCAGGCTAGCGAGCCAGCATCTTACCCACTTAGCCACCAAGGCTCCCTTTTGTCGTTCGAGCATTCACAAGGTTCACCAAAGTGAAACAATGGCTGAAATCCCAAAATAAACAGATGACAAATATTAATTAATTGCAGATTCATCTTTTTCAAAAGTATCGAGTAATCAAACTGATTATCTATGCTTAGTCTAAGCATAAAATGTTCACGATCAAACTCAGGTTTTGAAGTACCTGGTAATGAAACTATATAAGTTTCATCGTTCTCTATCAGTTAGAATCAAAGTAATCTTGTCCCAAAGCATCAACCAATAAAATTGCTTAGCTTCAATGGGAAATATTAATCATTGAACTCAGTCAAGACATTCGCCTAATGAACATCTACATGTACACATCAATTAATTTAAAAGGAGAATTATATTCCAAAGTCTTGACCAATCAAATTGCTTGTCACTACTTAGCCTAAGCAGAAAATTCTCATGATCACGCAATTAGAGCCAAAGTTATCGTGTTCCAAAGTCCCAAACAATCAAATTGCTTATCTCTGCTTGGTCTTAGTGGAAAATACGTATGATCGAACTCTGTCAAGGCATTCACCAAACAGACACCTACAGCAATTTTGAACATTCTACCTCAATTAGAAGGAGAGTTGAGTTCCAAAGTCTCAAGCAATCAGATTGAAGTCTCTACTTTGCCTAAGCAGAAAATCCTCAGCACTGAACTTTAAGGTATTGATGTAATGAAACTATACATGAAGTTTCACCACTATCACTCAATTAGAAAATCCTAATAAACGACCCAGAAACGATATTGAACATGAAACGTTCTTTTCTAGCACCTTTACCAACAGCAAGAAACTTCCAGACAATCTTGTCCCGTACCTATGGGTCTTTAGATAACTTAAATTCAGCTTACTTAAATGTGATAACCACATCACTTTTTTAAATTTATCTATAGAAAAACAGTTTGTACCTAAATGATTAAACCAAAGCAAAACTCTACCACAAACTCCAGATTTTCCCAGTCGCTTTCAAATCCGCTGGGAAGCGGCACATCAAAATTTTGGCAAAGAATTAACCATTATTCTATTAGACTACTGGAATAACCATAGAAATAAAATACAGAAAGAATTAGAAGAAGTTACCGAAGAAATTAAAAAGATAGACGCCAGTGAAGAAAACAAGGAACTCCTCTTTTCCATAGTAACCAACGCAATAGAAGATTTCAAAAGAAGACCGAAAAAACCCAAGAAAATTTCAGAAAAGAAGTCTGAATGAGAAAGAATTGAACCAATTAATCATCAATTTATCTAAATTCAAACTTTCAAAGATTCATCTTGAAGCTTAATCATTTGGCCTGAACTTTATACCCACACCCTCCACAACTGAAGAATTAAGCATCCTAACTGATTGAAATTTTTTCGAAAGAACCATCCGACTCAATCATTTCCACAGAAATAATCCAAATAGCCATAATTATTCACCTCGCCCGTTTGCTAAACCAACCAGATGGACTCCTCCACCAACCAGATGCCTATGGAAGACCAAATGGGACAATATTCATGATTCTAGTTTATACATTCCAGTTTGAATATTTTAGACACGAACGTAACATTCTAAACTAATGATTCTTGTTTCTACATTCTTATGTCAACATTTCATGCACAAAATCAACATTTTAAACAAAAAATTGACTTTATGTTTCATTTTCGGCGTTTTATCGGTAACTTTTATATATCATTAAATATTAAAATTAAAAAATAATTTCTTAATTTTACACGACAAAGAAATCAATTCATTGGTTTCTAAAAGTATCTAAAAAAAATCTGGAATTTGAACTCTTATGAAAATATTTTCTACGTTTCAAAAATCTTGAAATGAAAATGTCCAGAAAAATATGACCAGGTAGTATTTAATACAGCCATTCACCCAATACAGGGCTAGACTTACACCACAACGTGGCTCCCAAGATGGATTATCTATAGTAAGTTATCAATGGTCAGCTATGATAGAGATTAGAGACAATAGTAGTAATGAGATAATCCATCTATAAACATTAGTCAACTTAGTAAATGAATGAATGGATGTCACTTAAATACTACCCATTAACAACTATAAAATATTCTTAAGTTTAAATATATATAATTACTATGTATTGTATATTGTTACCAAGTAACCTCTAGTATATTAGAGGAAAGATTGTAGATCATAGGTAGAACCCCACAGGCAGGCAAGGGACAGACTGAAGGGCAGGTCTCTGATAAGTTATTTCTTAGATGCTGTTCCTTATTAAGTTACTTAGCCTGTGGGTCAGTATTATATATATATATATTATCATTGTTAAATATTGTTACAGAATATAAGATTATACTAAGAGAAGTGAGTTATTGAATTATTGTATGTTTAATCGTACACCCCCAATAGATTGAACATACAACCCATCGTCGAAGGTTGGACCATAAGCAGGTCCATAAACCCCGGATGATATATGGGGAGTGCCAATTGATCAACAGAATCTCACAAGCCAAGCGAGTGTTCTTCTTTGTGTATACACCCTAGGAAAGAAAGCTGATATTTTACTGATTTTTCTTCCTTTCGACAAAACAAAGAATGATGGAGAGTTGTAACAACCATGCTACATATTTACAAAAATTCTCAGGTTATGGACAAAAGGACCCTATACTATGGCTAGATTCATTTGAAAGTTATTGTGTTCTTCAAAACTGGGAAGAGGACAAATATAAAGTAGCAGGCCTTAGATTAGCTATGAAAGACAATGCTGCTGTATGGGTAAAATGTCTGCCAGAAGAAACAAGAAGTGACTATAAATCAGTGATGATGGTAAAGAAGTGTTTAGGCTAATTACACAGAGAAAACAACAACCAGGAGAATCTGTGGATGATTACCTTACAGAAATGAAAAGACTTCTTTTAATGAGATCCAAATATTTTCCAGAGGATTGGACAGCAAAAATTATGAGAAATGGACTGCAACCAGAAATACAAAAATGGGTTGCGTATAAAGACAAGTCTCATACAATAATGGGAGTCGAAAAATGTGCAAAATTTACAGAAAGTATATGTAATTATTATGCAAGGGAAGAAAACAGTGAAAAATTAGAACTTCATCAAAACGAACAATCAAAACTTGAGGAGGTCGTGAATAACTATCATGCACTGTCGAATCAAGGCAACCAAGAATATGAACAAGTTTCAAGACATTATATGGAGTATGAACAAGGCCCAAACAATAGAATGGATTATAATGAATACAAGTCAAGGCTAGCAGAAGGTAGGTGTGATTACAATTATCATAGTGGCTATTCATCATATCAGAACTATAGGTTTTCTCAAAATCCACATATGGATTTGTGTCCCATTTATGTATCAGATAACACTAACCATGATAGTGCTAGGAAACGTCATCAAAAATATAATAACAGACATAGAAATGTTACACATTATAACAAACTTCCATACAAAAGTCAAAAAAATATCAACTATAAACAACCAAATAATAAAGAATTACAAAATAGTCTGTTAATTAGAAATAGGTATTGTGACGAAAACACTCAGTCCAAAAAGAAACAAAGTCACAAAAATATCATCGATTTATCAATTAATGTCGTAAATGCGGAGCAAAATAGTTTCATATCAGTAATGTTAGGGAAAATATGTATAAGAGCGTTAGTTGACTCAGGTGCCAGTGTGTATAAAATATCTAAAGATCAATACAATAATAGTGGATTGAAAGACATACATCAACAACAACCAACTGAGACTGGA